AGATTTGTGCTGACTGATTATTTGATTCAGTTACCTCGGAGTACTAAAAGCCAATTAAGTTGACTTCTTTGATATTTAGTTACCTCGGAGTACTAAAAGCCAATTAAGTAAGTTCTTTCATATTAATTTCCCAAGTACTCAATTAACGAAGCTTTCTGGATTCTATTTAGGTCAAAATGGTAATTTAATCCCTCAACTTTTAATTTTATAATAAATTTATTTTTAAATTTCAAAAAAATACTAAAAATGTTCTTAAACTTCAATTTTTGATATCATAATTTCTTTCCATCAAGAGAAGTGATAGTTGTAACATTAAATTACCAAATAATCATTTCATTTTTTTTAAAATTGATGACATGTAAAAAAACCAATTCCCTTTTGATGATGTGGTAATTTTTATTCATCCACATCATTTTTTGAAATTTCACATATCCCAACCCTTCTTAATCTTTTTAATAAGTTAATACATTAAAAATTTAGAATACCTAAATGCCCCTATCTTCATCCTTTAACCCCTCATTCTTTCTTTCTCTTCTCCTCTGTCTTGTTCCTCCAAGAAAAAGCCTTTCACTCGAAAATGTCTCCTCTATCTCCATAATCACCACTCAGCCCCCTTCTCTTAAAAATCATCCCTTTCTCTCAAGAAATCTCAAACGAGCTAAAGGTATACAATATATTGCTTACCCAATTACAACTCCAGATTTGGGAATTGATACTTGTGAATGAGAACCAAAGTTAGGCTCTAGTTATTGAAGGCGTGTCCGAGATAATGATGGGGCAAACATGGTGTGTGGCCAATGAGAACGCTAGCAAGAAGAAGTTGTAGAGGGCATCTGATTTTGCTTATAGTAGAGGCAAGACATATTGCAATTCAATCCAAATCGGTGCTTCTTGTTATGATTTGAACATGCTCAAGACACATGCTTCCTACACCTTCAACTACATAAGATTTTGTAGCAATGTACTGTAGCTCAATTGATTAGGATTAGGGTTTGCAGTGAAAGGGGGAAAATGGGGAAGAATGGGAAAAATCTTTCATTTAATGAGTTTGAATTCTTTGTTTTCGTGTTTTGATGGTTTGGTGAGGTTGAGAAGCTGTGATTTGAGAGATTGATTTTTCCAAGGTCATGACCCTTAGAAAATTTCTAAAAATTAATCGGAGAAAAAAAAAGAAATTTCTAGATTTTTTTATTTCTCTAGAATTTTCTTTTTTAATTTTGTGGTTACGCAATGAGTTAATATTTGATCCCCACTTGTGTGGCCTTTTTCTCCATTTGGCTTTGATTAGATATGTCGCAAATCAGCTTTGAGAGGAAATGAAGAAGAAGAAAGTAATGTGAAACCCATAATTCAATTTAGAAAATACGTGGGGTCCTTATTTGTGTGAGATTGAATAATGCCACGTGATAAAAAGATACACCACCTCATCAATTTATGCTTGTTTTATCTTCTACATCATTATTTTTTTCAAAAAAAAATGTGATTTTCTAGCAATTTAACATTACAGCTATCACTTTTGTCAACGAAAGGACAATTATGATATCAAAAATTGAAATTTAAAGATATTTTTGATATTTTTTAAAATTTAAAAATAATTTTAATCTAAAATTAAAAGTTGAGAAACTAAATTAATATTTTAACTTTCTTTTTAATAGGGGAGGAACCAACCTCAAAATGTTCATATTAAACTATACTACATCTGAATCTCTTGATATTAATGCTCCCCATCCAATGGTCTCTATTACAATCCGGAACAGGATTTCCATTATTATATCTACCATCTAGAGATTACACGAAGTTTATTTCAAAAGCATTTGTCCTCATCTTATTTGCACAGTGCACACACCACATCTACACACGCTCCGTTGTCCATTCATAAGGAAAGGACACAAGGACATCAACAACTCCAGCTCATACAACATTGAACATTGTCGTGGTTTTTAAAAGAAAATGTCCCCACCAAATGTCGCACGAACATGCATCTTATTTCTTAACATAATTAAAAGCATACTTAATTATCCAGCCTTGGCTGGTCATTTACCGGGTGGGGACTGAATGTCAAGGGTTAAACCACGAATTAATAAAACTTTAAAGTTTTTAAGTTTTGAAGGAAGGAAAATAAAAGAAGATATTTAATTAGTTGAAAGAGAGTTTTTTTTTCTTCGTTAGTTTGATTGGTTAAAATAATCTTTCCTTTATATCACTTTTTTCAAACCAAACAAGGCTTTAATCATTCCTATGTCATTTTGAATATAGAATACAAACAATATTTCAGCAGCAAAATTGAAATATTATTAGTTGAAATTAATGAAAATTTAACATTAAAAATTCTTAACTTTAGAATTTTTGTTTACTTTATTAATAAATGGAGTTGACTAGGATTAATGGTCCTAAAATGTGCGTGCTCTCTCTCTTCTCTTCAAATAGAACATTGTAGTGGTTTAATAATAATTTTATTTTATTAAAAGTAAGAATTTTTCTGTTGAAATTACATAATATATAAATAAGATAAATTAAAGAATAAAGAAGGTTATTGTTTATTATATAACTTAAAATTGAAAAAATAAAAAATAAAAAGAAGAAAAAATGCTAAACAATTGTTGGATGTTATAATTATAATTTAAAAATACATTGGTATCCCAATCATGCATGCCAAAAGCTATGCTGAAATAAGCAAACCTCAAAATCGGGGACAAAAACTGGTTATACAACAAATTAACCCTATGCCATCAGTCATGTAGTTTAGTGATGGGAGTTTTTTGTGTTTTAGCCATAGATTTTCAAGGTTTAATCCCCACTCTCTACTAATCAGACAAAGAAATTAACCGTAGAACTACAAATACTCCAAATTGAGAAAAAAATTTCAACTTCACGTCGACCAGAAAAAGAAAATGCTTAGTTCCTGCCCAATGTTCCCGTCTGGGTCAATCAAATGGAAAGACTCAGAATCCGGTGACCCGCGAACTCTCTCAAAGCTCGCCCTCAGGTACATGAGCTCTTCATCTTGATCGAGTTCCTTTCCACTAATCATTCCGGTACCGACAACCACCGAACTCATCAGTCTCAGAGCATCCATGTCGGTTTTTGTAGGCCTGCGCTTCATTGCGTAGCCGACTTTCCTTCCGTTGCAATACATGGTCCATGCAGGCATAGACAGAAGTGATTGAGAATTTGCGTTGTGTCTTCCTGTGCATTCTAGCGCAATCCGGAGGATGCCGCCTTGCATTTCTCTGGCTAAAACGCTGGTAGGGACGGCGAATTCAAGGAGGAGAATTGGGTTAGTGGACTTGGAGTTTGCTTGGATACAGAAGCTTACTTTTCCTCTACGGTACCCAAAAATGGTGCCGGTGATGGTGGTCGGAGAAGTCAAGGTGGGTTTTGGAGTGAAATAGAAATTATGGAGGTGATTTTCTTGTTTGATTTCTTGGTCTTCTAAGAAGCAGTTGCAGCTAGGAAGCAAGAGCTCAAAGAGAGAACGAAGAAGCCGCCACGACCGGACTTGTTTCTGGCAGTCGACAGATGTGACTCCGGTAGTAATGCCGGTGACACCAACTGTTGGGTAAGACATTGCTGCCTTTAGTGGAAAATGGAAGGATTGTTGGTTGTTGGAGACGGTGTAGGGCTTATATAGAGAAGATTGGATGTAATGTTCTTTTAAATTTCTTTTCTATGGGTTGTCGGAATGAAGCTGCTTTCGTGTTAAAATCTGTGACCATAAAAATAAAAAAGAAATTAAAAAAATAATAACTTTAAAGTTAGATTTACTGTTAGGCAAATGTCCTTTTGTAGTTTAGATTTTTTTTTTTTTTTCTTCTGATCGTTTGGTTGGGATATAAACTTCATGTCTCAAGTTTAGCATAAGAATTCCTTTTTAGTAGCCGTTAAACCGTAGGACCATTCTCTTTTGTAATTTAGATTTAAGGTTTAAGTTTTGAGAGCAATGCATATAAAAAAATTAAGTTTTTTTTTTTTTT